GAAGCTGCAGAGTCTGCAAACCAGAGTTGTGCCTGCTTTGTTCACAGCCCTCAGAGACAACAACCTGCTGTCACCCTGAGGTTTGCTGCCACCTCACCTGCACAGAAACAGTGACAACCAAAGCTGCTGCAGAGTTCTAAATCACCTGAAACCTCTTGGAAAGGAGTTTCCTCACTCACACAGCAGATCTGGCACTAAGCTCTGCCCGTGAGGTTTCTAAGCAGGCTCAGAAGCATCAGAGACCTGCAGTGGCCTCAGGGACAGCAGATGGTTCAACAGTGGCTTCTCTGAAACACCCTCAAAGCAAGACTTCATTTTTCTCATGTCTGAGCTGGGGCAAACTGAGTCAAAATGAGTCACAAACTGCTCTAAGTACAACAGAAATACAGAACAAAACGGGGACATAATAGTCATTGGACTGGGATGGGTTAGAAGCAACCCAGAAATTCACTCCTACAGCATTTTTTCCTTCTATATGTGCAAGTTTTACCATGTTCTCATAGTGCAGTGACCTGGAGATGCCACCCAGGTCCTCACAAAGACCTGAGAGCACCCAGCACGGCAGAAACAGGCAGAGACAGTACACCCAAACCACCCCATGGCTCATGAAGGTAGAGCTGCAATACAACCCCCACGCGAGGCTGGAGATGTTAGAAGGGTCAGCTCTGGCCCTGGGGAGGAGAGAGACATCACTCACACTGCAGCTGGTTCAGTGGGAAGAAAACTAAGGCACTGCTCAACACATTTCATTAATGAGGGTGAGATCTCATGAGTTAGACCGAGAGAAAAACCCAAACATCAGGACACTGAGAGGGTTTTAGTGGCTGGATTAGGGGAGTTCCAAGTCCAACAGAGGAGGGACAGGTAGGTGTAGTGTGGAGGAGTTAAAGGGGTTTGGTTTGCACTTGGTGCATGTCTCAGTACCGAACTAATGTTCTCCTGGTTACGTCTGACTCTCTCCATCTCTGGGGTCACCGGTGTGGGGGTGCCAGTCCCTAAGCCCTCCTTGTACAACACCTGTGGGACACAAAGTTCCACAAAACACCCACTCAACACAGGCAAAACCACCGAGTCTGACTCTTCTGTGGGTTATGCTGAGCATTAGGATCACTTCTCAATCCATTTCACACTTGCTCTGGAAGCAAATAGTAAGGACGAGGCTGACGGTGGATTATTCTGGCAACAGACAGTGGAGGAGAAAGTCTCAAGTTAAACAAATGTGAGGAGAAAGAGAGACACCATGTTAACTTCACAACTACTGCCAAAGGTTGAAGAAACGCAGGGAAAGGTGTAAATCACCGCAGAGAGTTAGAGCACAAAGGGATGGAAGATCAGGGAGTTAAAACTCCTGCCAGGGTGAGACTAACCACGGAGGAGGAGCAGCCAGGGCCACGCTGGGGAGCTGCACAGCACAGGATTATAACAACCAGCAGTTGTTATAAGTCCCTGGGGTGTAAATACCGAGCTAATGTGCTCCTGGTTGCGTCTGACCCTCTCGATCTCGGGGGTGACAGGGGTGGGGGTGCCTGTCCCCAGCTCCTCCTTGTACAACACCTGCAGAACACAAGGACCCAGCGAGGTGAGGACACCACGGCCCTTCCACAGCTGCAGCACATCTGGAGATAACTCAGCTGCTTTGCAGCTAAACACGTGCTCAGTTTACTTTACATCGTGCAGCTTTACAAGTAAGAGGTTTAGCTGTCAGATTATGAGGTTTAACTTAGCCTTAACTGTCTGACTTGAATAAAAAGGCATTTTTCATTGCCAGAGTTGCATAGGAGACACTTAGGGTTGGTTTAAAACCCCAACCAGGTCCATGACAACTGTGCTCACAGCTCTTTCTGCAACTCGAGAAAGACTTGGAACAAAATAAGTTAACAAAAGAAACATTTCACTATTTGATGTCATTGAATCAATGAAAAACCCAGAAAAATAATCACACCGAGGGAAGATAAATTATGTAGAAGTTAGAGAAAAAAAATCAAGAATCATTGGGAAAAAGCAACTCAGAAAGTGCAAAAGTGAACAGTGCAAAACACATCAGGATCATGAACAGCTCCACGGGGAAATGGCACTTCTGAGTGTGGGATGGGAAATGGGAAGGCCTCACCTGTGTGGGGCCTACACAAAGGCTCCAATTGGTCTTCTTCCCACCCAGTTCTGTCTAGCTGATCCATTTTTCCCAGACTAATCATATCCCATCACCTGGGTGACTTTTGTGGCTAGTTCTGTGTTTAGAAACGGTCTCAGAAGTGATGCAGGAAAGTGACTGATACCATGATACATGTGATAATCACTGCAAAATTCAGGGATCTAAGCCTCCTGCTGCTGATCACAGGGATTGGGACACCTCATCTCTTTCCAGCAGTGAAGCCACAGCCACCAGGACAGGCTGGAGCTGAGTGTGAGCCTAGGCAGACACAACCACAGGACATTACCGAGCTGATGTGCTTCTGCGTCTCCTTGACACGCTTCACCTCGGGGAGGTCAGGAATTGGAGTTCCTTTCCCAATGCTCTCCTTGTACTTAATCTGCAAAGGCACAGACATCAGAAGAAAAGGAAGAGGATTAGCTTCAGAGCTTTAAATGGATCCATTATGGATACATGAAGGGAATTATCCTGATCTCATGGAAAGTCTAAAGGGTCTCATGGGAGTCAACGTGAGCAGAAGCTGTTAAAGGATTCCCATCATTTCCCAAGGAATCTGTTGCAAGGCAACTCCAGATATTGAGTCCCTGTGAATGACACTAAAAGGGTTTTCTAAAACCAGGTGGAAATTCCTTTGAGGCTGATGCCACTTGATGTCTCTCCCAGTGGAAGAACTTTAGATGTGGAGGAATCCATCGTACTCCAGCGAGGTGAGTCACCACAGAACACTCAGCACTGACAGTGGTACCTGCACCTCTGCTTTGGCAGGACAACAGAAAGGCATCTCACAGGAACATGCTGAACACACTCTGCATGGGCAAACTGGCTGCAGTGTTAGTGTCTTGGACCAAACTGACACCAGGAAAGCCTGAAACAAGTTTGTGAGCTTGGAAAGAGAAGTTAGAGGTACATTTACTCCAACTTCAGAGTGCTACAGCTTTTTACATCATACAAAAGCTGGACAAGACATGCCTTGGTGAGGCTTGGGACACTCTTTGCTCTGATGTCTCCAGACAAGCACACAGTGACACAGACTGAACACTGTCAGAACATCCAGGCCCCAGGAGCAGCTGGAGGGAAGTGACCAGGGGTGGACCCCAGGGCTCAGTCCTGGGGCCAGCACTGTGTAACAGCCTCATGAGGGACCTGGGACAGGGAGCACCCACAGAGAGTTGGTGGAGGACAAAGCTGGGATGAAGGCTGAGCCACCCAAGGGCTGTGCTGCCATCCAGAGGGACATGGACAGGCTGGAGAAATGGGCTCAGGAGGCAGCTCCTGGAGTTCCACAGGGAAAAATGCAAAGTCCTGCAGCTGGGGAGGAGTAACACCAGGCTGGGGAGCATGCTGGGGGAACTGGGAAGCAGCTTTGTGGAGAAGGACTTTGGGGACATGGTGGGGCAAAAACCGACCACATAGAGTACCTCATGGTGCTCTGCTGGCTTGTGGTCAGCTTGTTGCCCAAGGTTGCCAAGGCCAAGGTCCTCCCAGCCCAAACCACTCCATGATTTTCTGGCTAAGAGGGACATTTCCAGCAGGTCACAGGAGGTGATCCTGCCCCTCAGCTCAGCAATGGTGAGGCTGCAACCAGAGCTCTGTGTCCAGCTCTGGAGCCATCACTAGGAGAAAGACATGGACTTACTGGGGAAGTCCAGTGCAGCACCACACAGAGGAGTAAGAGACAGGATCATCTTGGGTATGAGGAGAGGCTCAGAGAGGACTCTTCAGCCTGGAGAAAATGCTGAGGGGGAACTTAGCAATGTGTGTAAGTGTCAAGTGAAAAGGAATGAAGGAGAGGGATCCACTGTTCTCAGGAGTGCTCAGGGACAGCACAAGTGGTAAAGAGCAAAAATTAAAACCAAACCAAACCAAAAAACAGCACCAGAAAATTCAATCTGTCCACAGTAAACCACCTTTTTCCTGTGAGGAGTTCAGACACTGGAACAGGCTGCCCAGAGAAGTTGTGGAGCTTCATCCTTTGTGCCACTCAAACCTCAGCTCATCCTAAGCAACCTGTTCCAGCTGACTCTGCTGAGCAACAGGGTTGGAGGAGATGATCCCAACAGGTCCCTTCCAACCCAAATGATTCTTTGATTGTGTCCAACTTGTGTTTGGGATGAGATTAAAACAATGGCAAGAGCCTTCATGATTTAGAAATGGGTTGTGAGTAAGAAACTGAATGTTAATCATTAGAGAGATTACTGTTAAAGTAAAAAGGATAGGCAAAACCTTACAGAAAGTCACCCTGAACTGGGTGGGTTATTGCCAAACCACTGTTAGCAACAGGTAAAGAAAGAAGAGAGGGGGGACAAATATTATTTTGAGTTGAATTAGCAGTGGTAAAGTATGAAAAATCAATTGGTTTGTACCGAGCTGATATTATCCTGCGTTCGCTTAACTCTCTGCATCTCTGGGGTCTTTTCAATGGTAGTTCCAGTCCCAATGTCTTCTTTATACAAAATCTTCGTGTTTAGAATGAAGACAACAAGGTTAAGCATCCAAAACACAACATCATTGTGTCCAGAGAGTGAATCTGGACACAGCAGTGCAGGCTGAAAGCTTGTGGGGTCACACCTGGGCACTGCCCAAGGGGAGTACCCTTCAGGCAGAAAAGAGGCTGGTCATGTACAGCTACTGCATTTTAAGCAGAATATCATCCATGTAATAACTCAAATATATCTCAGTGGAATATCTGAGCAGCCTGGGCCAGTGGAAGGTGTCCCTGCCATGGCAGGGGGTGAAGCAAGATGAGCTTCGAGGTCCCTTCAACCAAACCAGTCTGGGATTCTACCCCCGAAACATCTGTAGGTTAATTTTAGGATTGAAGGCTCTGATTTGCTCTGATCTGTTTTACACAAGGGTTTCCCACTTAGCTTTGCTAATGGAGCTAGAGGCAAAATGCTGCAGCAGCTTTGAGGCACTTCATGGCAGCATGAGCTGTGCAACACACAGGGACACACAGTGACAGCACAAGGGAACTGGGCACTGAGAACTACAACTTCAGCACAGGAGTGACTGAGGAACCATCACAGCTATGTCTGTTAGAGAGCAACCAGGGCACTCCACAGCAACACCTACTGTGCCTGCAAGGGAAGAGCCAAACGTGGTTATACTACATTTATGTGACATAATAAAGTAGTCCTGGGGTGAGAACTGGAAAGAGAAAGTCACCGTACCGAGCTGAAGTTCTTCTGGTTCTCTTTCACCCTCAGCATCTCTGGTGTGTCCTGTACAACTGTGACCTTCCCTTTGCTGTTCTGCAGGTCTGACTGATACTGAAGCTGTGGAGGAAATTCAGGTAAAATGCCAAGCACTGACTCTGTGCCCTAAAAAATGACTCACAGAGGTTTTTATGAAGATGAGAAAAATAGATAGGTACAGAATCTCACTAGTTTATCCACTTACTGTGCTAAAGTTCTTCTGATTCTCACGGACTCTCTGCATTTCTGGTGTGTCTGCCACGGGCACATAGTAGGGCATACTCTTTTCTGCATCTTCCTTGTATTTTTTCTGAGGGAAAACACCAAATAGATTTAAAAAAATCGATTAAAAAAGAAGAAATTAAACTGGCATCATTTACTGTGGCATCTTGCCCATCTGTATGGAGATGTGAGTACTTCTGTGCTTGATATAGAGTCAGGTTATGCCTCTGTGCAAGACTTAAATGAAGCTTCGGGTTATTAAGGAGTAGAAAATGCAGCTGAATCTATTAGAGAAGAATTAGCTTTGGTATTGCAAAACAACAGAGTATTAAAATCAGCTGATTTTAATACTGCAGTGGAATTTCAGGGTAAGAATCACATCACAGCTCCAGAGAGGTTTGTGTCCTGGTGTCTCTCCTGGATGGTGTGAGAGGTGGTTATTTAGGTGCCCAAATTAGTAGTTCCTGGAGCTTCCCACATGAACAAGGATTAAATTGCTTCACTCAAGATACCTGGCTGGAAAGGTTCTTGACCTGCTGGGCATGAATAATCTCTGGAGTATCAACAACACTGGTGTAGTTGGCTTTCTCCATTTCTGCCAATTGTTTGTATTTGATCTGTGGGCAAAGCTCACGTTTAGGTGCCTCAGTCATCTCTGCACAACAACTTGCACCCAGTTCAACCAGGGAAACTGCTACTGGGACCCTTTAAAGAGCTGAGGAGTGAGAGGAGGGAGAGTCACACAGACCTGGCTGGCAATGTCCGTGGCATTCTTGGCTCTCACGAAATCTGGAGTCTCCATGGCCAGTTCTGTCAGGCCTTTCCCTCGGATTTCCAGCTCCAAGGCTTTTTTGTACTCTTTCTGCAGATGAAGACAGTGAAGAGATTATAATAATGGCAATTAAATACCTTTAGCAGCTTCAGTTCCAGGTTGGATGGGGCTTGGAACACCCTGGGGTAGTGGGAGGTGTCCCTGCCCATGGCAGCTGGAGGATGTTACATCCATTCATCCACCCAAAGAGCTTCTGACATACCTCATTGAGGATTTGAGTCGCATTCTTTGCTCTTAACATGTCTGGAGTCTCCTCTAAGGCTGTCAGGCCTTTCCCTTTGACACCTTCCTCCAGATCCTTCCTGTACTCTTTCTGCAGAGGAAGGAGAAGGGAAAACACTGCAAAAACAGATTCAAGGCAGCTCTGCACTCTGCCAATTGAATGCAAAATAGGAATAGAGAAAAAAAAAAAGAATTCCAAAAGCTCCGAAAGAAAAGAAATTCATAAAACAAGAAAGACTATTGTAAAGGGTTAAAGAAGAATCACTGCAACAGGAGAGAATTATTGTGAAAGATAAAACTGCCAAGGCACACACAGGTGGACCAGTTAGGCTGCTGGGAGTCAGCAAGGGGCATGGGAAAGAGGGATACAGTGAAGGAATCAATGTCCAGGACAAATCAGCTCACAACACAAAATGGATGGAAAACATGCTTAGTGGGAATGGTTAGGAGAAAGAGAGCTGGGGAGAAGAGATGGTGCTGAGAATCTTAGTGGGATTATTGGGGCTGAGGGAGGGAACACAGCATGGAGTCACTGCTACCTCGCTCGCTATTTTGGTTGCGTATTTGACATGTAATAGGGATGGTGTAACCTCCAAGCCAGTAAGGTTCCTGCCCTTAATGGACTCTTCAAAGTCCTTCTTATATTCTTTCTAATGAGAGCAAGAAGAAAAGAAAGCAGAACAGCAAATATTTGTTACAGCATTTTGACTGAGGTGAAAAGCTCCTGTGAGGATGGAGAAGGGTTTGGGGGTCACATTGGTACAGTCAGTGCTGTGAGCACCTTAAGCAATGAATCCTGGTTCCACTAAAGCTTGTCAAACAGCTCTTTGCTTTCCATGGAAACAGGACCTGATCCTGCCTTTATTTTCTCCTTCTCCCACTTATTTGTCAATGCAGAGGAAACATTCAATGGGGCCACTCAAACACAAGGACTAATGGGCCTTATGCAGCTGCTCTTCAGCTGGGCTAGAACAAGACTGTACTGCAGACAAACAGAGAGGAACTGCCCGAGGGGAACAGAGTGCCAGGTCAGGGGAGAGCACTGTGACAGCTGAGACACACAGGGAATAAATGGGTTTCCCAGAGATGGAGTTCTGAGGTGAAAAAATAGCCACTTTCTGTGGAGTGTAACTGACACACATTCTGTACTTGTGGTGTAAAAGGTTAAGGGCATTTCATACTACATTTCTTTTAAGGACTTGCAGATTTTCTTAGGCTCTGTTTCCTGATAGATTCTTGATGAAAAATCACAACCCTTTGTTGTGACACAGAAAAGCTCCAGGAATTTCCAGTGTATCATCTCATAACCAGTATAAAGAAATCTGCTGCAGCTATAATTTCTCAGCCTATCAACATGCCCAAGATGCAGCTGAATTGCCTATTAAATCCCTATTAAGGTTTAACTGCAAAATTTGAAGATTTATAGTCTCTGAGCATTAATTTAACCATACCTGACTCTGCATGAGTTGAGATTCCTTTGCAGTGAGGTACGTTGGAGTTTCGAAGTCCAACATGGGTTTTCCTTTTTCCTTCTCATATTTTTCTCTGTATTTCACCTGAGGAGAAGAGAAAACAAGTTATCCTCCTAAACCATCACAGACCCAACTCACTGACTACCATGTGCCTACTGTGGTCAACAGTACTGTAGTAAAAAATGAAGGTCTAATGCTGTTCACCTCCCTGAAAACCATATTATTGACCACAAAATGTACATTTTGGTGGCTAGGCAGTAAAATGCCCACAAAGATGAAGATAATCCTGTGTCAGGTTATATTATCCAGCCTTTTGAGACTCTTGCATGAGGTAATGCTATGGCTGTGGCCTGCCCTTAAACTGGGGCAACAAGTAGTGACTACAACCTCATTAACAGTAACCTGATTAACAACCACTTCCTTACAGCTCTTTGCTATGTGACCTTTTTTTTGCTGTTCCATGCCTCAAACAGCTTCCTGAGAGTGTTCCAGGCCAGGCTGGATGGGGCTTGGAGCACCCTGGGCTGGTGGGAGGTGTCCCTGCCCAGGGCAGGGAGTGGGATGGGATCAGCTTTAAGGTCCTTCCAAACCAAACCAGTCTGGGATTCTATGCCAAGCAGCAGAACAATAAACTGTGTCCTTGTTGGCTTCTAGCAGTAATTTCTCTCTTGCTTTACAGCCAATAAAGACTTGGAATAGAGAGAATTAGAGACCAAATCAGAGTGTGAATTTCCCTGGAATGATTCAACTATTTGCTGCAATCCAGAGGGGAAAATGTCAGACACATTTAGCAGCAAGAATAGGTATAGCTTTGGTTAAACTTTGCCTTTCTCTTTCTGCATCCAAAGTTTAACCAGAGATCTCCTTTGTCTCACTTGACTGGATAAAGCATCTGTCAGCAACAGTCTTATTCCTTTCAGTTTCCTGTTTCTGTGATTTCCAGGTCCTTTTTCCATAGGCAAAATCCCCCTGATAAATGAATTACACTGTGTACAAAGACCCACATACAACAGAGGTGAACAACTGAGACCTACTCCAGAAAGAAAGACCCACATACAACAGAGGTGAACAGCTGAGACCTACTCCAGAAAGAAGTCCCACAGATATTTTATGGGTATATTCAATCTGTTCTGAATTTGCCAATGCACAAATATTCCTCCCTGACCTGTTTGCCCAGGTGTGCAGTGTTTCCAAAGCAACATTCCCTGGAGGATTCACTGGGATGACTCCAGTGCTTGAGTTAATGACAAACACATGACCAACTTACGTGGCTCTGCAGTTCTGATGCCTCCCTTAGGTGAACCTGTTCAAGATTATCTGGCACCACATGGTAGTGACCCTTACTCTTCTCATATTGCTTCTTGTACTGGTACTGAAGGGAAGGGGTCAAAAATCATCTCAATAAAAAAAAAATCCCTCAGCAAATTGACTTCTTAGGTCCAAATCAAAGCAACACTTCAATGGAACATCAAAGAGAAATTAGAAATACAAGAGGCAAAACCAAAACCCAAGAGGTTTAGGAGTGATAGTGATACTGGGAGTTAAAGGTGTGGGTGAATAGTTATATTTTGGACCATTCTGATTGCAAGAAAAAAGGATTAAAAAAAAGGATAAAGAGAAAACACAGTAGATACAAGAAAAGGCTGTTCCAGGCAGTGATGGTGTTTGCCTTTTCGCAGCAAAATGATCATTACTTTGTTAGGCACAATTATGTAGGTTTACAACGGGAGATGTTAAACAAATGTGAAATGGAAAAAAAACCAGACAAAATTAAAAAGTTTAAATATAGTAAATAGCAAAGAAAGAAGGAAAAATATTTTAAAAAGGTATTTGTTAGTTGGTACAATCAGTTAAAACGTGATCAGGAATCAATCCAGTAAAAATTATCAGAGTTTAAAACATTAGGTAAGAAAGATTTCACTTCCCACAGGGCAAATGTGGTGAAGTTGGTGGTTAACAAGGAACTCCTCGTTAAGCAGCAGAGATCACTACCAGGTGATGTCCCAGGAAAGGACTGATTGTTACAGGAGTTAGCAGACATCAGTTCCCAGCAGAACCACCAGAATTCCAAGTGGAATCCCCTCTACTGGGACAGGATGGGGTGGGCAAGGAGCTTACAGCACTGGCGAGTTGGCTCGTGCTCAGGACGTGGTTCATGATCAGCGACTCAGACATGTCTGTCACAGGTTTGTGGAGCTTCTTCAGGTCAGCTTTGTACTTCACCTGCAGGAGAGAGGGGACAAGCCACGTCAGAGAAGGACTCTGCCAAAAAAACAGGACAAACAACACAAAGGTGGTGTCTGTTAAAGGAGTTGGAGATCTCCCCAAGGGAAAACACCACACATACCTCACTGGCCATGTTGTGAGCATCCTTCATGGTCTTGTAGATTTTGGCCTCCTTTAAGTCATACTTTGGCTTTTTACCCTTCTCTTTGGAGTAATTCTCCTTGTATTTCACCTAAGGAAAGAACAACCAGGTATGACAACTGCCCCTGAGCACTCCCTGGTTTGGCTGCACAAGGCAAAGAGACCTCAGGTCTAAGGAAGTAACTTTAATGCTGTTGGCAAGGAGAAGAACAGAAGTGGAGTAACTTGGAGGTATCCACAGTGAAAAAGGCAACGAGCTGACATGGATAGGAAATCGACATATGTTTACAAAATACAACTTGCAGTTTTTCCTTCAGTGCACAGGTTATATCTCATTGTAAAAGAGCCAAGAGAATTGTGTTGCCCAAACACAGCCAAATTCTGACCCTGGGGATGAAGAACTTTTCACTTGGTGGGAGCTAGTCATGGGTTAAAGACACTGTTTCACAGAGAGATAGAAGCAGAGACAGATGATAAGAGTATTAAATAAGACAAAATGATTACCTAAAATATATACTATATGATAGATAATATAATAAGAGTAAATGTAAGAGTGTTTAAAAGAAGTTTTTCCACACTTCTGGATGAAATAAGAGCTCTAAAAACTCCCTCAAGACATAAGAGCACTGAAGATGTCAATGCATCAATCACTTCTCCATGCACTGTTAAACACAACTGGGTTGTAGCAGAATGTGAGAGCAGGGAGGACACTGACAAACAGAGCAGGGACACAGTTCATTGCTGGGAATTAGATGATACAAGAGCTGTAGTAACATTTCCAAACTCTATCAGCATCAGCCACATAACCTACAGCAATATGAGCCACAACAATCCATCAGCTCCAGGCTGGAGACAACACAAATGTTGACAGGAATGAGGTTTTTAAACCCAAAAGAAGTGTTAGCTGGAAGGTATATGAAAACTAAAAGCAGTTATGCCAGACAGACAGGCAGACCCAGCTGAGAAAAGCCAAGTGGGCAACCGAACTGGACCTCATGGTTTCCACGAAGAGGTTAGTGAGAAGAGATGCCCAAGAGAAAAAAAGCAGTTAAAGGTTGTGCCCACGACTCTTTCCGTCCTCTCTACCTCTACAGCAGCTCATTTCCTCCCAAAACTGAAACAAGCTCAGCAAAACATGTGTACAAGACCCAGAGGAGAACAGTGGAGCAAAGCATAGGAAAGGAGGATCTTGTCACTGGATGTGAATAAACAATTTCTTCTTTTTCCTGCAGTTCAGCTGTTCAGTTTCTGAATCCTTGGTTCTGCTGAGAAGATTTTGTTTTTCCTGACAGACACTCAAGCATGCCACAATTACATGCAGCAGACATGGAAAAAACATAACCCCCTTTATTTTTCACTTGGAAATATATGTGTACAACTGACACAGCACAGATCTGTCTGCAGCCACTTCAAAAAGTCCAGTCCAGCCAAAGGTTGTCTATTGGCCAAGGGTTTTGAGATGGGAAGAAGAAATGATGTGCCCTCAGACTACAGGGGACACTTCTCAGAGGCTCTGGGATGGATTCAGTCAAGGACTATTCTTCCATCATGGCATTCCAGCACAAGGTCAACAGGACAGTTTGAATAGAAGTTTAAAGAGTTAAAATGAAGCTCTAGCAATTGTTCACTGCAAATTACCAGCACCACTGCTCCTATTTATCATACACATATATTTCCAGTATTTACTGCACAGTTTCATTAAAGCAGCTCCAGTTTTAGGTCTTTGGGGTGAAAAGTGAGTTTTCATATTGCCTGAGTGCATCAGAACTTCCATTCCAAAGCCTGGAAGCTCCAGAACCATAATGAAGGGCACAATGACATTTCAAGCCCCAGGTGGTGCTTCAGACTTGCAGGACCATATGCAAGCAGGAGACAGACACATGACAAGGGCAGTAACATCACCGAATCGAAATCATCTTACATGACTACTTAGCATGTTAGCTTTCTTAAAGGTTCTCATCCAGGGAGTGTCATAGGATGCTGCTCCGTGGCCTCTCATGTGTTGTTTGAGGTATTCTGCCTACAATCAGCAGCAAGAAAGCAAGGTCAGAAATGCAAACAGCTCCAGGACTAAAGCACGAAGGGGTGGGAAGAGCCAAGCTGGACTGAGGTCCTGGCAGAAGATTCTTTTAAAGACAGAGAATGGAAAGAAGGTGGCTGAAAGACACCAAGTGTCCATCTACTAAGGGATGGATAACAAGAGTTGGGTAAAAGGCTGTTTCTTGTAAAGCAAATAGCCAGAAGAGTTAAAGAGAACAAGGCAAACACTCCTACCTTAGTATTTGAGAGATCTTGTCACGGCACCATTTTAAGAAGATTCTATACCTTCATTACTGACATTCAGCAAATCAGTAGAAAAGTTCATTTAACGAAGAAATACCTTGCACTGGTATTTCACTTCTACTTTCACACATTGCCTTTTGCCCTAACCAAGAAATAACTTCTTTTTCAACAGTGATAAAAGTTAATATTGTGTCTCATTTCTCTCACTGCTTCAAAGATTCAGCCACAGTTTATTCTGCCATGGCCTGGCTGGTTATATTCCCTCCTTACCTGGCTGGTCAGCTTGGACACCTCCTTTGCCAGCTCAATATCTGGACGCCCCAGCATGGTCACCCCCACACCAGCTGCTCCTCGCTTCTTGTACTCAATCTGACAAAGAAAACATATAGAGTCATAGACTCAACCAGGATGGAAAAGA